AACGTGGTTTTGATGATTTCGATTGCTTTGTTGTATAGATCGATTTTTTTGCCAGTTATTGTTACTACAGCATATAACTGGTAAAACGTTGAGAGTTGTGATATTATCAAAATTTTGACACGCGAACAAAGTTTCATTCTCAATTTAACCATATTTGTGTTTTGCCTACGCTCAAGGCCAGACATGCTAGCAACCGCTGCTAGTATTAAACCGAATTTTGCACCATAAAGGGTCAGTCATAAGTTCGATTCAAAAACGCTTTGTCGAAACATTTATGGCGTTCTTCCATGCATTGTTTTTACATATCTATATAAACCTACCCAAAGGCCCATGATCGCGTTTCATCAACGAGAGCAACATGTAGTGGCGTAGCAATCAGAAATTGTAACTCTCTTACGTCTTTCAACGGCGGCTTTCTATAAACATTTTCTATAAATAAATAATAATAAATAAAAAATTTCTATAAATATTAATAGGGAATTTTTGTTCAACTTCTAACATAGATACTCTTGTGTTTTGTAGAAAAAAGCATTCCTCGATGCGATAGATCGCAGTTTGTGCAAACTCTTCCATTCATTCAGCTCTACTAAACGTAAATTACGCTCATTGACTATCTGACCAGTGACAATTCAATCATCTGAGCAAACAGTTAATATCTGAAATTTCTGTAACGTTCTAGATCAGGTTTACAGACGTACATTTGAATCCGAAAAACAGCCTACTCCATTGGTATATAGCTTTTACAGCAAGAGTGTTTTGAGCCTCAGTCGACGCTTTAGTCGAACAGCATTAAACTACATTTTGCAATAATCTGTCGATTGACTGGAAAGTATTTTTTAAGCAAAGATTCAATAAGTTAAAAAAAATCCTATTAGAGGAACCATAGTGTAAATGACCAGTCGATCAGCTACTAGATGTCGTCTCATGGCCTAATGATCCAATGTGTTAATTGACACATTGATTGATAACATATGAAATCAATATCGTAAAATATCATAAGCATGAAAACGATTTAACTAGAACAATTTTACATTAGTTCGTGAACAAATAATTGTACAACTGAAAAGTTCATTTTGTGGGAGCGATTGTAGGGGCAATTGGCTACATCTTTTTTAGGTGGTTCAACAACATTCGAGATGTTTCTCAATTTTCTTAAACCTCTAGATGAAACCTCCTCCAGATTTATTTTGGATTTTAAATCGGACGACAGCCTTACCAAGCTTACGGAAGTTACCAAAAATGTATCGTCCAAAAGCTTGAAGGTTTTGGCTAAGTTTTTTTTGTGTAGGAGCGCTCTAAGCTTGATCTCCCGGATACCGCAGCACTTTTTTTTTTCTAAATAATAGGTTAGATTTTGAGCAAGATGAACAACTCTCTCCGTATAAACAGGTTGTAAGTGACATCAAAATTGCTGCTTTCAAAAACAACCAACGGGAGCTTTGAGGATTTTGTGTATCCTTGGGATAGCGCAAACGGTTTTCCTGTCATTAGATGGGCTCTAATAGTGAAGTACATTTAGCTCTTGATTGAAGACCTTCTTCGTTACTGGACTCTTTGAATTCGCGGACTTGAACATGCAAACGCCCCAGTGAGTCAAGCCATCGGCGCGGACGTATCTTAACTTTCCACCAATTGCAGACTTTTCCCAGAACTGCTCACACTGTACCTGCTATGGTCCCATATGCACTTTAAACAATGATGCAGTATGATTGAACTACTTGCGGGAAACGATTTAGCTATAGAAAAACCTCCAAATGGCTGGACCGTTGCAAAATCAATTTACCGGACAAACGGTAGGAAACAAAATCTATTGCACGACCGCACGCGAAAACGTTCTATCTGTTATTATTCCGACATCAACGTTTTCCGACCAAACGCTATTCCATGTAATTGGACAGCTTTTCCACTGATCCCATCGGTATCTTCCTGTCGGATAAGTTTTAGTGTAACATCCTGCTGTTGGCTAAATCGATATATACCTAAAAGTGACTCTTCCATCTAGTAGTTCAATTTTATTGCTTGTTTCATTGTACAACTTTTGTCCTAAATGTATATGGGACCATCGAGTTTGAGGTTCCGTTTTCCTAAACGCAATGCAGACACAGCTTGAGCAAAAAAAGCTGTGATCGATCTGTGATATCCAGATTGATGCCTTCATTTATTGGGGGGAGGGGGGCGGTACTTGCTTAGCTTGTTCAGATCCGCGGGTTCAAAGAGTCGCACCATAGATAAGCTTATCCTCAATTAAACTGCGGCAAACTTAAACGGCCATTTTAATAGTGCAGTCGGTTTCCATAGTTATGATCAACGAACCAGTTTGTGTATCCACTATAATTGCCGAATAAATGCGATATGGAGAAAGTGTTGTTATGCTTCATATAACTGAATAGGCTTGAATAATAAAATTAATTAAAACAACATTATTTTAATTTCCTCAAAACAAACTTATAATCGCACCTAGCACACTTAAAGCAGGTCTTCTATTAGAGAAGTAACCTGTCCTCATACCTGAGTATGGGTAGATGTCCTCAGCATGCCTCTTTTCTACATTCGACACATTAAGTATCGTAATGACGTTTATTATAAGCTAAATGTTGACATGTCAAAAAACCAGATCGCGTGTGTTATTATTAACATAGATTTATTCACACTTAATGTGAGGTAAAACAATGTTGTAACAGCAAAAAAATTGGATCGGTTTCAGGTTAGAGGAGTCTTTATGCTTATATAGATATGTATCAAAAAAAAATTTTTAAAATATCACATAACAAGGTATCATACGTTCTCGTGTCATTAGCCGCAGTTCGACGGGCCATGTGATGTATTAGAGGTTCTTATAGCTTATTTGAGCTTGGAACTAATAACGTTTGCATCCTAGTTCATAATTATAAATGATGACTGCAAGACAGTGTCATTATTACACAATTCATCCGTAAAATCATGAAGATTAAGGTATATACTCACGTTTGCCTGTCGATTGAATATCGCATGCAAAAAAAATCAATTAATTGATTTTATACAGATGATATTTCAATGCAACCAGATGGCATCATTGTCCACGTAACCTCACTTGTACCCTCTTTTCCTGCTCTGGATAGCTGCAATAGCATTTGCAAAACTTTCTGGTATTTGATAGTCGGATAAGAGTTTGATGAACTTTTTATGTTAAAAGAAGCAATATTTCTGCCGTGTTGAATCCCCGCGACTGATTCATTTTAACAAATACAACGTTGTTATGTAATAACAATATAAAGTATGTTCATACGGAGTGTATAAAAAACGGAATATTCTTATAATTGCATATAAGAACAAATTACTTATGAGCGAATGTCGTGATGTATTCTTCGAAAACCATCGATAATTTGCCAGTGGCATATACGAATACATATTGAGTTCGGTGATATGTATATACGTCCGACGCATACACCATAAAACAGACCCATACAAAAACTATAGAAATAATTGTGAAATGTCGGGTGTAAGCCAAATACTTATTAAAATACTTATATAGGTTGGAAGTAAAGGCAAAAATAAATCAAATTTAAGAATCGCTGACTTCAAAGACAAGCATTACTGCATTAGACTATACGTTTATTTAGTCTAATTTTAGTAACTATTCCTGATTCGTTATCCCACTGTACAAAAAGCTTCCAGTGTTAAGCAACTATAACCGCGGCTAAAAAGGCAGAAAAACACTGAGTAACCGCTTTAATCAATACTTAAACGGTTTTGGTATAAGCATTTATATTCGTGGTATAGACGTATTAATCAGTGCATACATAATACGTCACAAAATAAGTAGTTTAAGAATCATTAAAATTGATGAAGTATGTGTTGCACATTATTGTTGTATCACAAAACATGATACTCGTTTCACGATACGAAAGGTAGATAATATTTCTCTAGCCGCCCGGAAGACGTAAAATTGATTTTCGAAGCAAATATTTGAAACTCAAACCACACAGAACTAACGTTATTCGAAGACATAACGAAATTCGAAGCATCTGTTTAAGACGCATTCAGCCGTCACAATTAAATGTCTTCACTACTATCTTTTAGCGGTGTCTATCCACACCCCAGTCGCAGACTTATCCCGAGCCTCCAGACTGAAGGCGGGACCGTTGTTCATCATATAACAAGCAGACCTTGTCGGCTGTCTAAAAAAAGATAATATCTCTTTGAATGGATTGGATTGTCCATTTTGATGCATTTTGATGAGATTTAACCGTAACCCTCAACTACGGCGTGTGTCTAATAAGAATATAAAACGGTGAAGCGAGAGTTAGTCTAGCTCGGTTGCACTCTTGTTCAACTATGCTTTTGGTGTTTGTGCCAGTCGGTCTATATACACATATACCCGGATGATGTATTAAAGTCTAAGGGGTAAAGTCTGCCTTTTGAGGGATTATTTTGGTAATAACGTGTGCATGTGTGCGTGTGCTTGTGAATGACGATTACTGTGATACGTCGCCGTAGATAGACCATGAACGTCAGTGCTAGGATCTTGGTGGTAATGTTCGTGTTATTTGTGCAACTCAGTCAGGAGGGTGTTATAAAAGTATCGCATAAAAAGCCGATCAAGATCAAAATACAAGCAAAACCGGCAGTGTTAATTAAAAAACCTCTTCCATTATTGCTTCTTAAAAAGCCATTATCTCTATTACTATTGAAACGTTACAACAGCAAGTTCCGTAAGGGGTGGCCTTTATCAGCTCTTTTTACTTTCAAAGCGGTCAAATACGCAAAGGTGAGTTGGGTGAAGGTGCGTCGATGTCGCATGGTTCCTATTGCACAATTCCGCAAATCTACACCTCACTCCCTTGGGCTCAGTCTCGCTGAAAGGACAACCTACTTCAAAATATCAAACCATCATAAAGCCGCCTGTTAGGTAGTATTTGTGTCCGTTGTCCCATTTACGCATAATAAACACGCATTTCTAAATAACTGACGACTTACCTACTCGCACTGAGTTCCACCTTCCTATACGATATGTCTTACAGCTTGCTTTCCTGACGAGCTTGGTGAAGAAACGAAGACGGAGATCGTTAGCTGACAGCACACTCTTCTCAGCACCCAGCATTCAAGTGTGGTTGAATGATCAGCGTCGTTTGGCTGGACGTTATACAAAATCAAACGGAAATCGTCAATCCAGCAGAGTATTTCGACTGGATCTACGTACTTACGGTACGGTGCCTAAATCACCTACTCTAAAGACAGAACCCTATGTTCTGTCTGATGACGCCACTACGAAGGCACCTTACACATCCAACTTCGTGTCAACCAAATTGGCTGATTCCGAGCCAACCACAGGCAGTTTAACAGAGCCAGGGCCAACTACATGGTCACCATCACTTCAAGGCTATGTCGATGATTGCAGTTCTCCGGTTAATGCATTACGCAGAGATCATCCTAACCACTTTGCAAAAAATACGACTATTTTTTTCAGCATGAGATCTGAGGCTGAAGAGAGGTTTCTTAGAGAGATTATTAGCGGTCGGAACCACGTTAGTAGTAGCAAAACAAACATTACAACAGCTACTTCGATAACAGATGAATCAGGTGACGATTGGTCAGATAACACGTCGGCTACAAGGGAGATCAGTCAGCAAATAGATGAAACAACTACAGACCATACTGAATTTAGATTCACACTACCAGAATCCACCTCTAATGCCAAAACAAGCGCAAAGCATGGTCAGTTGGTCGACGGCATTTCGCAACAAGAGCACCAACGGCAGTTCACAACAGAAACAGCCTTTATGTTTCATGAAACAAGTGAAAGTGACTTTGTAGAATCATTCGAAGAGCAAAAAACGACCTTTAATGAGAGAGGCGTGTCCGAGAAGGTCAAAATATTACCAGCTTCTGATAATTTCGAATTGTCCAGCCATTCAACTACAGAAATAAACGAATCTTCCTTTGACTATTCTGTTTCAACCTTACTTAGCGAAATTCCAACGAAGACAATACACAGACCTGTGGAAAACATGACTGATTGGCCGGTCGTGTCGATTGTCACATCTGTCTCAGAGCTCATTACAACAAAAAAAGAAGAAAAACTGCCTATAGCTTTCGTCGATCACAACGATATTACAACAACGGAAAGTGCTGCTACCAAACAGACAGTTATTAATCCAAGTCCAGTAATCAGTGTGAAGACAGTTCTGCGGAATATTGCCAAGTTGCCCCCTGAACATGCGCATGCGATTCAATTTGACTCGAGTTCGAGCATGGTGTCCCCTGGGTATGTCGCGAAAAATCAAAATAGCTCTGCTGGACATCCCATTCGACCGATAATCATAGGCAGCTTTGAATTCTCTTTTGATTCTAACAACGATGCAAAGCAAAGATCTAATCGACCTAAAGCGTTTACAAAAAATGATGCAGTCGCAGTCAAAAGGCAGTATGCTTCACAGTCGCAGGTATTTTATGAAAAAGAAGGAAGCCTGGAGCGGATTACAGACACACGTGACATTGGTCAGAACCATACAAGCAAAACCATAAGCTTTTTGACTACAGAACATGTTTTACAAGCTACAACGTCGGCATCAAATCTTCATGCATTATCGACAACGCTTCCCTCAATCACCACGCCCATGCCCGGTCTAAAACCTGCCATTCTTAAAGCCGATGTTACAAAAGCTTTACATGAAGTGCGCGCCTTCGATGATAGTGATGAATCTAATAAATCTATAGAGCGTCTAACAGTTAAGCACAATAAAAAACCGCTGTCTGATTCACCGACGCAAATAAGGACACAAACAAGCATCTCACTAAACGAGCTGGGCGAGCCTTTCAATCCAGAGACGAGGGTAGTCTACGACAGCAAAATGACTCCAACAGTCGAAGAAGTGAAGACCGTTAAAAAAAAACAAACGTTTCTCATAGGACACACATGGACAGGCAACAAAAATACATCTAAAAAAAACAAAGAAACAATATCAAATTCACCTACTCAAAGGCCAATGGAAGAAGCATTTACAAAAGTAAATAAAGTGTCTTCAAAGCCCACGTCTAATCTTGCGTCACATGAGAATCACAATGATGATGTTAACGAAATTTTTAAATCACTTCGAGAAAACGATCAAGACGGCTGTATACAACGTGCTATTTGCGAATACGAAGCTATGAAAAGAACGAAGACGCTTAACATCATGGAAGAAAGTTTCGTGGACCTGTTCGGGTAAGGGCTCAAACAAACTACGTTTCAATTTTATAAATATCATGATGCAATAAAGGAAACAAAAAAGAAGAAAAAGAGAAATAGTTTTCGTATAAATTGATAAAACTATCCATGGAAGTCTTTTAATGCATTTAATAAATTATTGACGCTTTATAGATAGTAACGTAATCAATGTATTTTGCATGGCACAGGAGCACTATAATCTAAAACAATTAGTTTATTTTTAGAAAAGTCACAAAAAACAACAACTGTTAAGAATACAGGCATGTAACTTGTAGAATACAAATGCTTTTCTAAAAGAGGTTTTTTTTTCTTGTAACATTTAAAATTTTAAAGTTAACTTTAAAAATAGCCTTTTACCTATTCTCTGAAAACTAAACTCAGCTCTAGGACAGTTTGTATAACGCGAGTAACCTAATAGGCTTAGAATACAAATTTCGGCATAGGCACAGAAGAGTGATTGCGTTAATGTATTTTTAGAACACAAAGTCAGTGTAACTCTGACGCCTTCCTGAGATGATTAAAAAAAGCGCTGGCTAAATTACGAGGTCGCTTAATGAAACAGGCAAATAGACAAGTGCATTTTAGGATCGGACATTATCAAACAAGGTAAAATTTGTCTGAACTGACTATTTGCTCCGATGTAGTCTGTGTACTGAAATAAAATATTAATTTGCAGCACAACGTGACTCGTATTTGATTATCTGTTTTTATGACTATATAT